ACTCGAACGCTGTGTCCTGTAGCGCAGTGGATAGCGCGTTGGACTTCTAATCCAAAGGCCGTGGGTTCGAATCCCACCAGAGACGACCGAACATCAGGAATGTTATTTCCTTTTAAATGTACCATTTTATTCAAACAATGAGATATATTGCTACTTTCTGTACGACTGCACTCGAAGCTGTGTCCTGTAGCGCAGTGGATAGCGCGTTGGACTTCTAATCCAAGCCGTGGGTTCGAATCCACCAGAGACGACCGAACATCCGGAAATTTTTTTCCTTTTAAATGTATCATTTTATTCAAACAATGAAGATATATTGTCACTTTCCGTACTGACTGCCCTCGAACTTTGTGTCCCTGTAGCGCAGTGGATAGCGCGTTGGACTTCTAATCCAAAGGCCGTGGGTTCGAATCCCACCAGGGATAACCGAATATCTGGAATTGTTTTTCCTTTTAAATGTACCATTTTATTCAAACAATGAAGATATATTTGCTCACCTTCCTGTAACGGACTGCACTCGAACTCTGTGTCCCTGTAGCGCCGTGGATAGCGCGTTGACTTCTAATCCAAAGGCGTGGGTTCGAATCCCACCAGGGATGATCGAATATCTTGGAATTGTTTTCCTTAAATTTACCATTTTATTCAAACAATGAAGATATATTGCTCACTTTCTGTACTGACTGCACTCGACCGCTGTGTCCCTTAGCGCAGTGGATAGCGCGTTGGACTTCTAATCCAAACCGTGGTTCGAATCCCACCAGGGATGACCGAACATCTGGAATGATTTTCCTTTTAAATGCACCATTTATTTCAAACAATGAAGATATATTGCTCATTTCTGTACGACTGCACTCGAACGTGTCCTGTAGCGCAGTGGATAGCGCGTTGGACTTCTAATCAAAGGCCGTGGGTTCGAATCCCGCCAGGGATGATTGAACATCTGGAATGTTTTCCCTTTAAATGTACCATTTTATTCAAACAATGAAGATATATTGCTCACTTTCTGTACTGACTGCACTCGAACCTGTGTCCCTGTAGCGCAGTGGATAGCGCGTTGGACTTCTAATCAAAGGCCGTGGGTTCGAATCCCACCAGGGATGAACGAACATCTGGAAATGTTTTTCCTTTTAAATGTACCATTTATTCAAACAATGAAGATATATTGCTCACTTTCTGTACTGACTGCACTCGAACGCTGTGTCCCTGTAGCGCAGTGGATAGCGCGTTGGACTTCTAATCCAAAGGCCGTGGGTTCGAATCCCACCAGGGATAACCGAATATCTGGAAATGTTTTTCCTTTTAAATGCACCATTTTATTCAAACAATAAAGATATATTGCTCACTTTCTGTACTGACTGCACTCGAACACTGTGTCCCTGTAGCGCAGTGGATAGCGCGTTGGACTTCTAATCCAAAGGCCGTGGGTTCGAATCCCACCAGGGATGATCGAATATCTGGAATGTTTTTCCTTTTAAATGTACCATTTTATTCAAACAATGAAGATATATTGCTCACTTTCTGTACTGACTCACTCGAACGCTGTGCTGTAGCGCGTGGTAGCGCGTTGACTTCTAATCCAAAGGCGTGGGTTCGAATCCCACCAGGATAACCAATATCTGGAAATGTTTTTCCTTTTAAATGTACCATTTTATTCAAACAATGAAGATATATTGCTCACTTTCTGTACTGACTGCACTCGAACGCTGTGTCCCTGTAGCGCCGTAGATAGCGCGTTGGACTTCTAATCCAAAGGTCGTGAATTCGAATCACACCAGGGATGATCGAATATCTGGGAATGTTTTACTTTTTAAATGTACCATTTTATTCATACAATGAATATATAATTCTCACTTTCTGTACTGTCTGCACTCGAATGCTGTGTCCCTGTAGTGCAGTCGATAGCGCGTTTGACTTCTAATCCAAAGGCCGTGGGTTCGAATCCCACCAGGGATGATAGAATATCTGGGAATGTTTTTCCGTTTAAATGTACCATTTTATTCAAACAATGAAGATATAATGCTCACTTTCTGTACTGACTGCACTCTAACGCTGCGTCCCTGTAGCGTAGTGGAGAGTGCGTTGGACTTCTAATCCAAAGGTCGTGGGTTCAAAACCCACCAGTGATGATCTAATATCTGGGAATGTTTTTCCTTTTAAATGTACCATTTTATTCAAACAATGAAGATATATTGTCACCTTCCGTACTGACGGTCCTCCAACTTTGTGTACCTGTAGCGCAGTAGATAGCGCGTTGGATTCTAATCCAAAGGCCGTGGGTTCGAATACCACAAGGGATGATCGAATATCTGGGAATGTATTTCCCTTTAAATGCACCATTTTTTTCAAACAATGAAGATATATTGCTCACTTTCTGTACTGACTGCACTCGAACGCTGTTTCCCTGTAGCGCAGTGGATAGCGCTTTGGACTTCTAATCCAAAGGCCGTGGGTTCGAATCCCACCAGGGATGATCGAACATCTGGGAATGATTTTCTTTTAAATGTACCATTTTATTCAAACAATGAAGATATATTGTCACTTTCCGTACTGACGGTACTCGAACTTTGTGTCCCTGTAGCGCAGTGGATAGCGCGTTGGACTTCTAATCCAAAGGCCGTGGGTTCGAATCCCACCAGAGACGACCGAACATCCGGAGATGTTTTTCCTTTTAAATGTATCATTTTATTCAAACAATGAAGATATATTGCTTACTTTCTGTACTGACTGCACTCGAACGCTATGTCCCTGTAGCGCAGTGGATAGCGCGTTGGACTTCTAATCCGAAGGCCGTGGGTTCGAATCCCACCAGAGACGACCGAACATCCGGAATTTTTTTTCCTTTTAAATGTACCATTTTATTCAAACAATGAAGATATATTGCTCACTTTCTGTACTGACTGCAATCGAACGCTGTGTCCCTGTAGCGCAGTGGATAGCGCGTTGGACTTCTAATCCAAAGGCTGTGGGTTCGAATCCCACCAGGGATAACCGAATATCTGGAAGTGTTTTTCCTTTTAAATGTATCATTTTATTCAAACAATAAAGATATATTTCTCACCTTCTGTACTGACTGCACTCGAACGCTGTGTCCCTGTAGCGCAGTGGATAGCGCGTTGAGCTTCTAATCCAAAGGCAGTGGGTTCGAATCCCACCAGGGATGATCGAATATCTGGAATTGTTTTTCCTTATGAATTTACCATTTTATTCAAACAATGAAGATATATTGCTCACTTTCTGTACTGGCTGCACTCGACCGCTGTGTCCCTGTAGCGCAGTGGATAGCGCGTTGGACTTCTGATCCAAATTCCGTGGGTTCGAATCCCACCAGGGATGATCGAACATCTGGGAATGATTTTCCTTTTAAATGTACCATTTTGTTCAAACAATGAAGATATATTGCTCGATTTCTGTACCGACTGCACTCGAACGCTGTATCCCTGTAGCGCGTTGGACTTCTATTCTAAAGGCCGTGGGTTCGAATACCACCAGGGATGACCTAACATCTGGAAATTTTTTTCCTTTTAAATGCACCATTTTATTCAAACAATGAAGATATATTGCTCACTTTCTGTACTGACTGCATTCGAACACTGTGTCCCTGTAGTGCAGTGGATAGTGCGTTGGACTTCTAATTCAAAGGCCGTGGGTTCGAATCCCAGCAGAGACGACCGAACATCTGGAAATGTTTTTTCTTTTAAGTGTACCATTTTATTCAAACAATGAAGATATATTGCTCACTTTCTGTACTGACTGCACTCGAACTCTGTGCCCCAGTAGCGCAGTGGATAGCGCGTTGGACTTCTAATCCAAAGGCCGTGGGTTCGAATCCCACCAGGGATGATCGAATATCTGGGAATGTATTTTTCTTTAAATGTACCATTTTGTTCAAACAATGAAGATATATTGCTCGCTTTCTGTACCGACTGCACTCGAACGCTGTATCCCTGTAGCGCGTTGGACTTCTAATCTAAAGGCCGTGGGTTCGAATACCACCAGGGATGACCGAACATCTGGAAATTTTTTTCCTTTTAAATGCACCATTTTATTCAAACAATGAAGATATATTGCTCACTTTCTGTACTGACTGCACTCGTACGCTATGTCCCTGTAGCGCATTGGACATCTAATCCAAAGGTCGTGGGTTCGAATCCCACCAGAGATGGTCGAATATCTGGGAATGTTTTTCCTTTTAAATGTACTATTTTATTCAAACAATGAAGATATATTGCTTACTTTCTGTACTGACTGCACTTCCCACCAGGGATGATCGAATATCTGGGAATGATTTTCCCTTTAAATGTACCATTTTATTATAACAATGAAGATATATTGCTCACTTTCTGTACTGACTGCATTCGAACGCTGTGTCCCTGTAGCGCAGTGGATAGCGCGTTGGACTTCTAATCCAAAGGCCGTGGTTTCGAATCCCACCAGGGATGACCGAACATCTGGGAATGTTTTTCCTTTTTAATGCACCAATTTATTCAAACAATGAAGGTATATTGATCACTTTCTGTACTGACTGCACTCGAACGCTATGTCCCTGTAGCGCATTGGATAGCGCGTTGGACATCTAATCCAAAGGTCGTGGGTTCGAATTCCACCAGAGATGGTCGAATATCTGGGAATGTTTTTCCTTTTAAATGTACCATTTTATTCAAACAATGAAGATATATTGCTCACTTTCTGTACCGACTGCACTCGAACGCTGTATCCCTGTAGCGCGTTGGACTTCTAATCTAAAGGCCGTGGGTTCGAATACCACCAGGGATGACCGAACATCTGGAAATGTTTTTCCTTTTAAATGGACCATTTTATTCAAACAATGAAGATTTATTGCTCACTTTCTGTGCTGACTGCACTCGAACGCTATGTCCCTGTAGCGCAGTGGATAGCGCGTTGGACTTTTAATCCAAAGGCCGTGGGTTCGAATCCCACCAGGGATGATCGAACATCTGGGAATGATTTTCCTTTTAAATGTACCATTTTATTCCAACAAAGAAGATGTATTGCTCACTTTTTGTAATGACTGTTCATGAGCGCGGTGTCCCTGTAGCGCAGTGGATAGGGCGTTGGACTTCTCTTTTAAGGGTTGTGGGTTTGAATCCTACCAGAGGTATTTCTATAGCAGAGAATAATGTTTATTTTAAATGTACCATTTTATTAAAACATGAAATATATATATATATATATATATTACTCACTTTCTGTAGCGACTGCACTTGATTGCTTTGTCCCTGTAGCGCAGTGGTTAGCGCGTTGGATTTTTAATCCAAAGTTCGTGGGTTCGAATATCTGAGAATATTATTTATTCCAAATGTACCATTTTATTAAAGAACGGAAGATATATATATATATTATATATATATATTGCTATCTTTTTGTACCGACTGCACTCGATCTCTGTGTTCCTATAGCGCAGTGGATAGTGCGTTGTCTTCTTATCCAAAGCTCGTGGGTTTAAATCTCGCCAGGGATATTCTAATACCTGAGAATGTTATTCTGTTTAAATGTACCATTTTATTAAAACAAGGAAGATATATTGTTAACATTATGTTTTGACTGCTCTCGTAGCGCAGTGGATAGCGCTTTGAACTGTTAACCCAATGTTCTTGGGTTCGAATCCATCCATGGATGGTCGATTATCTGTATTATACTTTTCGTTTTTAATGCACCATTTTATTACAACAAGGGAGATGTATTGCTCACTTTATGTGCCGACTGCGCTGCGTCTCTGTGTCCGAGTATCGAAGTGGATTCAGCGTTGGACTTCTAATCCAAAGGTTATGGTTTCTTATCTCACCAGGGCTATTCCATTATCTAAAAACTTTATTCCTTTTAAATGCACCTTTTTCTAAGGCAAGGAATATATTTTTCTCCCTTTCTGTACTGACATCACGCGATCGATATGTCCCTATAGCAATGTGGACAACTCGTTGATTTTTAAATCCAAAGGTCGTGTGTTTGAACCCACAAGGGATGGTGTAATTTTTAGACCTTTCTTAGTTGGATTCGACTATGGATCTTAGACACTAATATCTGAGAATAATATTATTTTTAAATGCATGATTTTATTAGAGCACATTTTTTATCACTTTATTTACCGACTGCACTCGATGGATGTGTCCGTGTATCGCATTGGAAAGCTCCTTAAACTTCTAATCCAAATGTCGTGGGTGCAAACCCCACCAGGTAATTTCGAATATTTGGGAATGTAATTTTCCTTAAATATAAAAACTAACTCATTAGAATAAATACGATATATTATATCTCTTTGTCTACAGACTACACGCAAGCACTCTATAAAAATGGAACATCTGATCAGAAAGACCTCAAATTTGAACGGAATATTATTGACGATGTTGGGAATACTATGGCATAATAAAAAAGTAGGTCCAAATTTTATCAACAGGTGGCGCTGTAAGTGGCTTAATATGTAAATGAAAATACCTGTCATGCGCCCGACTCATTTCAACTGCTATAAAAAAAAGCTGGATACATATCTTTTTCTTATTTCACGTCTGAGAATTTAGCCATGACTCTCTCCTTGAAGGACCACGTTCGACTTGTAAAACTATATTACAAGAATTATAACTTTGCACCAATAGCTCTGCATAAGTTCCGGACACTCAAGGGCATGAAAAATGGCGTTGGTCCGATGTCTACCCAGAGTCTGGAGAAAATGATTAAAAAATTCGAAGAGATAGCTTCTTTTTATGTACAATCTGGTAGATGGAGGAAAAGAGTTACTTCGACAGCAATTGAAGAAGGTCTCACAGCAGTGCAGGAGGAGTCCAGCGATGGCTTGCAACCATGCAGTTCTTGGGGAATTGCCTGAACACATGACAGACCTGTGAGCACGGTACAAAAAATTCTAGGAAACATCCTGCATTGCCCTGCATACAAAATTAGCCATGTGCAGAAGTTGCTTTTTTCTGACCTGACAGCAAGAGAGACTTTTGCTTTTGAATATTGTTCGCATGGAAGGGGATAGTGAATGGCCTTGGAGAATTTGGTGGTTAGACGAAGCCCGCTTCTCTCTGACAGGATATGTCAATACATAGAATTGCAGAATATGGGCAACAAAGAATTCACTCGCAACTTAACGAGTACCACTTCATCCTTAAGAGGTCACGGTATGGTGAGGATTTACGTCATCATTTATCATGGGGCCAGTGGCGCAACGTGCACCCCAGGAACCCCTGCATCGAGGGGGCCCAGTGGTCTAGGTGGCCCAAAATTTGAATGCTGCCAAGGGCCCATCCTTTGTAAAATCGAACTTGGGGGCCCAAAACCTGATTTTGCTGGGGGCCCAAATATTCTCTCTTACGCCACTGCATAGTGCCATACTTTTTCGTGTTGGTCCTGTTACCATTACCGTCATTAGTCAGCGCGATGAGTGTCTTTTGCGCAACCACGTCATTCCAGATCTTCAACAGCATGGTTGAATGGATGAGATCATTTTTATGCAAGATGGTGCTCCCCCACCCATTCCAAATCCAGCGACGCAGCTGCTGAAAATGCATTTTGTAAATGCTGTAAATGTCAGCCACTATTTTCCTAAGGCCTGACCGCCCCGATCAGCTGATTTTAATCCGTCTGACTTCTGGCTGTGAGGCTGTCTGAATGATGTAGTGTTCAGTACTCCGTCTGTCGAGGGCGTCCTGAGCTTGGTCTTCGTGTAAATGACATCACTCGGAAACCACTGGTCCCAACACTTCCTCAGAACATATTCAGAACGGCCTAATTGACTAGCTACTCGCCTAGCTGACCACTTCCATCATGACGATGTGTGTGTGTGTGTGTGTGTGTGTGTGTGTGTGTGTGTGTGTGTGTGTGTGTGTGGTGTGTGTGTGTGTGTGTGTGTGGGTGTGGTGTGTGTGTGTGTGTGTGTGTGTGTGTGTGTGTGTGGTGTGTGTGTGTGTGTGTGTGTGTGGTGTGTGTGGGTGGGGGTGTGTGTGTGTGTGTGTGTGTGTGTGTGTGTGTGTGTGTGTGAGTGATTCTCCCTCTCTCAAACAACCTTTCCATATTGCCACACACCAAGTCTGATCCGTCAGTTACCATCACTAATTTCTGAAATGTTTGGGGTGATTAATTTTCTACCTATAAATAACTCCCCCGGTATTTTACCCGTTGTTTCATGTACTGCTGTCCTCAAAGCATAACTAAATTCTTTCAGAAAATGGTCCCATGTATTGTGATTTTCTTCTACAAAACTCGAAATCATTTGTAGAAGAGTACGATTAACTATCTCCGTTTGATTAGCTTGTGGACGATATACCACCCTTTTAACATGTTTTATGTTCAACCTGCGAAACACTTGCTCAAAAACT